TAATGCACATATTTAAAAAAAAAAAAAATTCTTTATTTGAAACTGGCAGATGAATAAACAGCATAAGAATATATTATTTATTTATGATATTAAATTGTAGACCTTGTTTGGAGTATTTTATATAATATTTTACTACAGTGCTGGAAACAAATATTGGATATTTTGTTCACATTGCAAACTTTCACAATTAGCTTAGCTACCAAGTGATAAAACTGTATCACATTATCTCTTCTCTTGATACTCCAGACTTCTCCATGAAAGAGTTCATAATGTGAAGGAAATATGTGATTTCTTTTTAACATTACTACGTATCTCATTTTGGTTCCTGAGCTTTTGTATACCAGATTTTCCATTGCACAATTATGCAACTTAGTACTGTGCAATATTATACCTTTCTGCAGAGCTTCAATTTATTTGCATACAATTACTCAACACTGGTCAGATTCAATTTTATTAATTCTGTCAAATCGGTCACGAAATTTATAAAATTTCTTGTCAAAAGAAACAGGATGGCACAATGAAAATTAGAAGTATGAAAACTAAAAGAAAGATAAGCTAAAAAGAAAAATGTTCAGTATGTGGTGAAAGAGAAGATGCCATGCACATCATTTTAAAGATGTGACGAAACCTACAGCTGGAGAAAGAAGGCTCCATGCTGGAAACAGAGGATGTTTCACAAAGCAACAGTTTTAAAGACAACTGTAAACTGTAGTAAAAGAAAATGTCTTAGAGTCTAGGTGATTAATGGCTCAAAAGTCAGACATTAGTAGAAAGATATGCTATGAAAATGGATTTTCTATTTGAAAATAATAATTACACAATGTAAGGGATCAGACACACTTGTTACAGCATATCTGAATTTATTTAATAATATACTCAGTGACTCAAGACTATGTAACACAAAATGATAATAAATAACGAAATGGAAAGGATATTGAAGGAAGTGGTAGTTATTTAAGGTACTATTCTGACATTTGCTGAGGGATTGAGTAAAACCATGAAACATGCCATCATGAGAGTTGGTGACCCAGCTAAGATTTTAACCACACATCTCTCAAACAAAAGTTACAAGCCACTTTTCTCAGTGTAAAGGTTCCATCATACACTATGTACTGTGTATACTCGTACAGGGCCCCAAGCTTGTCTTAATCAGGTGCTTCCGGAGAGGCAACTTTGTGAATCACAATATTACAGATCCACGGTTCATTTATAAACAATATATAAGCCACATAATTATGATACTTAATTCTGCTAGTGTGAAATGATTGATGTGCAACAATGATGACCTTTAAACCTAGCCTTCAACTGATATTAACAAGAAAGTGGTATGGGAAGAAAAGCCCACCCACAAGATTAGTCTTGGGTGTATACTAACAAAAAGTTACTATTGAAAGGAAAGGTCATCGTAGAAATTCGCTAAGTAACTTCCGATGAGCTGTTTACTAAACAAGCAATGAGAAAAAAGAAAATTACTATATACAAAAGATGCATACATACTTAAGCTACTTCTCAATGTAATCACCTCCGGAATTGAGGCATCTGTCATGTTGGGGAATAAGTTTTTGTATGCCTGTGTCAAAGAAGTCTGCCATCTGTGAACTCAGCCACATTTTGTATTGTGAAACACTAAAAAAAAACAGCATAGCGTCATTCAGAACAGTAGTGGAATAATGACAGCCAGTGTAGTGTTCTTCCATGACAACGCACATCCACATACAGCTGCTCACACTCCAGCGTTGCTGGAGCATTTCAACTGGAAGTTGTCTGACCACCCTACTTACAGCCCCATTCTTGCTCCAAGTGACTACCGCCTGTTTACCTACCCGAAGAACTGTTTGTGATTGCTGTGCTTCAGCAACAATGAGGAGTGGCTGAGCTCACAGATGGCAGAATTCTTTGATACAGGCATACAAAAACTTATTCCCTAATACAACAGATGTCTCAATTCTGGAAGTGACTACACTGAAAACTAGCTCAAGTATGTACACATTTTTTGCGTATAATAATTTGTTTCTTCTCATTGCCTGTCTTAACAGCTCACCAGAGGTTACTTTCTGAATATCCCTCATATATCTATATTTGTTCCTGTTGCTCACACTTGGGGCATAGGGCATCTGGAAATGCTTCATTTCATTTCAGTTTCTTAATCTTAGACAGCAGGTAGGACTCAGTGCATCAATGCAAATTAACCATACTACTAGAAAAGAAATGCATAACTGCAAACGATTGTTTCATAAAACAATGTTCCAGCTTTCTCGTTCCGCATTACTTTTTTTATATGCAAGATTTACTTATGGCATCATGACCATGTGTCCATGTTGCAGAAGCCTCATGAACCAAATGGCAGATTCTCGTGAATCTTCGTACCATCAGGTCTCCAGAGGCTATCCATACCTCATACTTTTTAACCTCCTATCATTAATACAAAATGGTGACCACATAAACTTGTGAGATAGGAGTCACATCAATATAGAATCCTGATAATTTGTGTACACAATGCAACTTTTTGCAGAACATATAAGAAAACATGTTGGCTTCATAAAAATCAATGAAGGTATGTTTAGATTCAAGCTTGCAGGCAATATCACAATCTCTCCTTTATTTTAATGGCATTTTAAAATAAAAGAGAGGTTGTCAACAATTTTGGGTTGCATTACAGTTGGAAATAAGTGAATGAGTTAAAAACATGCCAATTATAAGAAACTCTGAAACTGAAATCATGTTGTGAGCTCCAATCTGAAACTAACAGGATAAACCAAGTGGACACCCGATATATCTGTGGACAAAATAAGCCAGCAACAATACAACTGCTTGAATTCATCTCCATGAATATGGTAAGACACATATGCATAAATTCTACCTGTATTTGCCTCTGTTAGTTTCAAATATATTCAGCAACAAATCAATTCAATCCTTTGTGACATATACGCACGTGTGATGTGATCAGTCACCTCGATACATCCTACTAGAAAATAAAGAGGAATATGTTAGATATGACTTGGAACTCCAGTGGAAAATTCCCAGAATGCCTAAATGTACAGAATGGGGCATACACTAATTTTAATTTGGCCACCAAGACTGTTAAGATCTTCTTCAATGTCATGGTTAACATCATTCCTTCTTGAGCATAAATCTACTGTACTAATGCAATGTGTAAAATCCATTATGGATACACTCTTTCCTGATATTTCTGTAATTAATTATGAAATGCCCATAAGTTATTTCTGAACAGTAACAATGTTCTAGCATAAATATGCATGAATCACATCCCCCTTCAGTATAACAAACCTCTAGACTTCACTAATTCTTCTAAATAATTCTATTCTAATAAGGAATCACTTTCTCTACGATCAGTCAATAACAAATATGATTCACGTATCAATATTTTCGGTTTACTGCTATATACAGCACAATTTCTGTAGTGAGTACTTGAAGTCACATGAAAGTTTATGCAGCTGCAGCAGTTGAAAAACATACCAGAAATCAGGATTTCTAACAAAAGATTTTACTTTATTTACGTTTAATGAAAAACCAAAGTGCATTTTATTTAATAACAAAAGAGGCTATGACAACTGTGCCTGTGACTTGAATATACATATGAGCGCACATATATATATTATGAACCTACATCCTGAAGAGTGCCACCTTCATTTTTAATGACAGGCAACTGATTATGTTATTGTAACTATCGAAACTGTTGTGACAGCCATGGAGGATCACATGCATGGCCAACAAGATTCTGCGATTTAAACCCTTTGTACGGTCATCTCGGGGGCCATGAGGAGGGACTAGTCTATATACAAAGAACGGAGAGAAGGACAATGCTTCAGGGAATTTTAGGTGATGTATATATCTGAAACAATCCCCACATTTCTAAGAATGTAAACACTTCCATAATACACTGCCGTGAAATGCACACTCAAGACACACTGAACAGTTTACAATATAGCAAACTCAGATGTGTATTCAAGTCACAGGCTGACATTCTGAACAGTTTTGGCATCATGCTTCATTATTATTAACACTTATTTTTGTACTGTACTTTTTGTACTGAAGTGATATTGAATTCCTTCATCAAGAACCACTATTTCTGGTACATTTTCATCCGACTTCAATACTGCCCTGGCTCCTTAATCTTTTGCAAAGTGGACCCATGTTAATGGGACTTCTCTTAGTAAAAATCAATCAGTTGATAGACTCCACCTGAATATGTAAAACAAACTACCTTAACACAAAACTGGCTGCCGCTCCTTTAGTTTCTTTCAACATAAACGGAGAATTAATAATTTATATGCCTCTGGTTCATAACATAAGAGTTTAAATTCAGAAATTACACGATAAAACATGGCATGTTTTGAACAGTTCATCAAATTTCAGCCTGTTCTGAAATCTGGCTGTTCAAACAATACACAGAGGACCTAAACAGTAATGGAATCACAGCAAATTGTTTAGTCACATCACTTTATCTTACTCTAAAATCAATGTGATAAACTTCAGTGTTCCACAGAATTCTACTCACGAAAAGCAAGATGGGTGCGAGAAGTAAAGGTATCCCTGTAACAGACCGTGCAGGACCATAGGGTTGTAAGATGTTGAGGTTCCCACAGTTTCTAGACAAGATGTTGAGGTTCCCACAGTTTCTAGACAATCAGCTCATAGATGGTGGCAAGGCTGTCAGCCCTACACGCCGCCCGCCCTTTACCCCCAAAAATATTCCGGGTACTCAATTCTGTTAGAGGCTGAGTTGACCCCAGGGCCATATTGCACTTGGAAGGGTTAGGTCAAAAAAGAAAAAAATCCAATGACCTCATCAGGACTTGAACCTGTGACCTTCCGGCTTGTAGCATAATGCCTCAACTAACTATGCTACCATGAAATTAAAAATGCAACAAGAAATGAAATGTTGCCACTGTACAGTGCAAATTTCCCAAAGAAACAACCCCCACCAAAACACATAAACCCAATAACCAGGCATGAAAACTGAAATTCTGTTAGCTTACCTTTGACATCCTCTTTGGCAGAAGGTACTGATGTGGTGGTATCTGGCTGGAACATGTCTAGGTGAGGACAATTCTCCGGAGGTGCACCCAAGCGCAGGTCCACATCTCCTGTGGCAGTCACAGGAGGAATTTCCACGCTGCGAGGCTTGGGAGCCAGGTTTCTTCTCATATAGTTGCGACCTTTTGGTAGCTTCACATCTTTAAACACACTGCCCTTTGATGGAGAAGATTCACCTCTCCGCTTGTTGTCTGTACTGATGACTGGAGGTGGTGGTGGTGATGGAGAATCACCCTCCGGCTCAACGAAGATGTCGTACTTACTAGATACAGGGCGATCATGGTCGTGATGTCTCTTCTCCCCTACCACAGGACTCTTTCTCCATTCTTGCTTAATACTACCATTACTAGAGTTCCCACCCATGCCTGAAGATTCACTGCCAGATTTCCCTGACCCTTTCTTCCTCTCAGAAGATCTGCTTGTACCAAGAGGTAAGGATTTCTTTCTGTGACTTTCTGTTTTAGAGGAAGGAGAGCTACTTTTATTACCAGTTTCAGTATTCTGCTTACTTGTACTACTTTCTTCCTTTGTATCACCTGCTTTTGGTGGAGGACTATCTGTAAGGTCAATCTTTATTATTCTAGGAAGAGCTTTGTTACGTGGTGGCTTTGTGCTACCATTACTGCCACCTTTACTTTGTGTTTTGCGTTGTGATGATGAGGAAGGGGAACTCAAACTCTTACTACCACCACCACCACTACTGGGGTGGGATGGGGAGGAAGGTAAAGGAGAAGGACCTCTCCCAAACATCTTGCCACTTCCCTTACCACCAACTCCACTACTAGTGGCAGAGGACGTCCGGCCTTTGATATTACTATTATTTAAACCATGAACCTTATTACTTATCAAACGAGGGTCTTTCTTACTGATTCCTCGAGTTTCTTTATTTACAGTACCTTTATTGACACAACCAATATTGATTGTGATCTGAGGTTTTGGTTTGGCAGTCTCTAGTTTAACTGGTTCAAAGATTAAATCAGGTTCCTGTATTTCCTCATCTTGTGGCTGTACCATACTATTTTCTGGAACTGCATTAGACTGCAGTTGCCGAGAAGCAAGCCGAGGATCCCTCGATCGTACGCCAGGGGTGACAGCAGTTAGTGCTGGTGTTGGAATTGGACGGCAGCTGGTGCTTGATGATGATGATGTAGCTGAAGTCTTCAGCCCTGTTGCTCCTGTTGATTTCGTCTCAATCTTCATCTTGCTGCTACCTGAAGCACTGCCACTACCTCTTGCAGCAGGTCCTGCAGGAGCACCAGCTGCTTCAGGAACAGTTACTGTTACTGTCCCAGAATTCTGAAAATACAAAATGATTGTGTACTGTTACATCATCACTGGGGAAATTACATTAAATCCCACTGTTCCCAACAGAAACCTTAAACAGAGACTTCCTTATATATAGTGTCTAAGAACAGGATGATTAGTAAATAATGAAATAGAAAGGATGTGTAAGAACATTACATTTATGGTCAGCTGCAAAGGTACAAACTGCATTTTTCACAGACATTCCTAATGTACAGTAATCTACCCCACAGGGTTTGTCAGATGAAGCATACAGCTTCAAGAGTGAAGACAAATCAGATATAACAGATATACCTCTTAAAAACAAAAACTGCAAAATTCACTTCAGCCTAATATTAATAGGCAGCAACTAACATCAAGTTGACGGTTACACACCCATAAGTGTCCAGAGAGTTTCTTGTGTTCAGTTTATTTATTACTGGTGAATTGTGCACATACAAAAAAGTATATTCTGACTTGTTTCCACAAGTAGTGATGTTACTAGCATATTGTTCACTGCAACTTTTCGGAATGAACAAACGGTGTAAAAGTTCACCCTAGAACTGATTTTTTAACATGATATTTCACAACAATTTTCATTAAAAAGTACTTGATATCAAATGGGATATGTAACACAATTTACTGTAATGTGAAAAAGAGGTTTGAAATTACTGGGGGGGGGGGGCCTCTTCCCAAATTCTCACCTCAAATTGAAAACGTCACTAGTACACATGGCTAATGCAAACAAAAACACACAGGATAAAGGACTTACTACAGTAAGGTCCTTTATACATAAAATGGTATTTTTCTGTTTATTTACCTGACTAGTATTGACAACTGTGGCAGGTACAGGCACGACCGTTTGTGATTTCGTTGAGACCACTGGAGATTCCATTGGTTTAGGTGGTGCAAGTAGTTTAGCAGCTTCCTGCCCAGCAATGTGCATTGGTGGTCTCAGCTGATGATGGAACACAAAACACAAAATTATATACCACACCTTCCTCTGTAATCCATCTGTATTATCTTCACAATTACAGACACCATAAGCTTCTCCCTAAGCAGTTCATTAGTTACTCAACACTTAGGTAGAAAACCCGTAAGATTTAAAAGGGGTAGCCTGCTACTGGACACCATACTGAAATATTTGCATCTACCTCCCGTCCTCTCAACGTTCCATCTTAATGTTACCCTCCCTTAACAGCATGAAATATCAAGCAATCAGTTCTCATCTAGTGTCTGTGAGCCCTTAAAATTTGCTCCCTAAGTCTGATCTGCAAAAGAACACCAATTTGTCCTGATCTACCTCTCAGTTGGTTTTAATTTCAAAACAGGAATTCAGTTTTATTTCAAACACTGAAACAAATACCTAGTTAAATTTCTGGCAATAAATCCACAAAGCTTAGGGTGAGACCATGCCAAATCAACACAGGCCCATTTCTGTGATCAATTAAATCACCTCAGAATGTATAGAAATATAACTGTTCTCTTGTTCCATATGGGAGTGAAACTTGGTCTCTCACCCCATGAGAAAAAAAAAAGATTTAACATGTTTGCGAATATTTGGATAAAATGCTTTTAACTGAATACAGAGAGACAGTCCAGTAGCCAAAACATCATTCTTAAATACAAAACAGGATGACTGATAAGAGTATTTGGATTGAACAGGAAGGAAGTAACATAAAATTGCATAATAAGAATCATTATTATTTGTACCCTTCACCTTGTATTATTAGGGTGATGAAAAATGAGTTCAGCAGAGCACATCTGGAAGATAAAAAAAAAGAACTCCATGGCCTGTAGTTCGCAAGTGCGCTATACCGACCGCCACTTGTTGGTGAAGTTAGTGCCAACTTTTGTGGACAGAGGGTTTCACACTGTCAGCACAACAGATCCCCATGGCCATTAATTTCGATTTTCTACATCGGAACCGCTATTTCCTTGAAGTATCTCCTTAATTATCCTCATGAGGCTGAGTGGACCCCATTCCAGACCCACTGCCTCTCAAAAAATCTTGTAGCACAGGGACTCGAACCTGGGACCTCTGGATCTGTAGCCAGGAACTCTTGACTACTAGACCACAGAGATATGAACTTAAATGGAGAAACCTGAAACCTGTACTTCGCAAGTGCGCTATACCGACTGAGCGACTGCCACTTGTTGGCAAAGTTAGTGCCAACTTTTGTGGACAGAGGGTGTCACACTGTCAGCACAACAGATCCCCATGGCCATTAATTTCGGTTTTCTACATCGGAACTGCTATTTCCTTGAAATAGCTCCTTAATTATCCTCATGAGGCCGAGTGCACCCCATTCCAGACCCACTGCTTCTCAAAAAATCTTGTAGCACAGGGAATCGAACCTGAGACCTCTGGATCTGTAGCCAGGAACTCTGACTACTAGACCACAGAGATATGAACTTAAATGGAGAAACCTGAAAGGAAGAGACCTCTTCGGAGATTTAAGTGTAAATGGGAAGGCAATGTTAAAATGGATATGTGAACTGATGCTATGGGATTCATCATTATAGGGGCATTGCTATCAACCCCAGGTTCTACAAAAGGTGGACAATTTCTTGAATAGCTCAGAGAATATTAGCTCCTGAGGAATCTGCTCCATACACTTGTCACACACGATCATGACAAAAAAAATAAAAATCAAGAAAATTACGTAACGGGATATTTCATGATTTTCATTTAAGCACAGGGACAATCTTCCTTGGCCTACCTCAAGCTGAAACTGATACCATGTACAGAGTGAAAAATATGCAGACTCAGGCACTAGAGAAATAAATTCCAAACACTTTCCAGGCTACAAGAACAACACAATACCTTGAAACTAGGCTTGCCTATAATGGGTTAAAATGGCTCGTTCTGCCATCTCATCACACATAGGGAACAAATTTTTATGTTTCTGCACATTAAATGTACAAGTTCTCACATGAATAAATAAACAGCAAATGTGACCTGCATTCAGTTGGCTTAGGACAAAGGAAATGAAAGGTTTTCTTAGGGATGCCACTGAACTGTGCTGTTTTAACAACAGAGAACTTCTTGAAAAGTTGAATAATAACTGCCTGCTACAGAATGACTGTGTAGCAGGCAGTAAGGTAGGTCATTAGTATTTATATTAAGAAACTGTGCATAACACTATGGCAGCTCCTCACTCTTACCTGCTCAGAATGAAGATGTCCAGTCTGTCTCTCTAACTGTTTCTGCTGTTCTTCTAATCTTGCTTTTGTTTGCAGCAACTCTAATTCCAATTTTTTCTGCTGAAGTTCCAGCAGCTCCTTCTGCTTCTTAAGCAACTGCTCCCTCATTTTGGCTTCATTGATTGTATGAGGATCTTCCACGGCTGTGGGAGGAACTGCTGGTGTAGCTGGAGGGGTAGCAGACACAGCAGTGGAAGACGGCTGGGAATTAGGAGCTGGCGGTGCCTGCTGCTGAAAGCAAATTATACATTCCATCAAGGGGTTTTCTGCAACAATTTTCATTACATCAGCCTTCTGTTCTTTATAACTGCTACTAAACACCGCAGTTGAGCAGGCAGTACCCCTGCTTCATATTCAGAATGTTCCAGTATTAAATCTTGGTCCACAGACTGGCTATACTGAGTGAAATTTTTTGTAGGTCTTGTCAGCCCCCTCCAGGCAAATGCCAAGATAGTACCTCAAATTACACCATGACTGCTTCCTTCTAAATCCTTTAAATTCATTAATCCCTAGTCATCCTACCCTCTGAAGCTATACAGTATGAATTACCATAAGACTCATTAAATAAATCAGAAATAAAATAAATTTATATCAGTTTGGGTCAATACCTAAGCCCAGCTCTTCTCACTGAACACCATGATTCTTTTTCTAACCCTTCAGCATACAGGAAACTATCGCAGATTCTTCTGTATAAAAACTACACGTGAGGAATTTTTGTTATGCGATGTACAACCAGAGTAACTTAGTTAACTGACAGACTATGTGCTGGGAATCCTCTTCACCATCACACTCACACCCAACTTTGGGACCCACCCACCATCTTATCTAACGGATACCAAGTCTCTTTTTCTAAAAGAAAAGCAGCTGAAGCATATACTGGACCTACCATCTTCAACTAAGGCTGAAATTAATATTTCAACTTGTGTCACCACACCTCCTTACACCTTCATAACATTGCGCAACGGAACAGGAAAAATTTTTTACCCTTCATCTTATGGTATATCCCATGCTGTTTGGTTTGACGTAACAATGAATGTGCCACAAATACCATTACTATATGGGTTAAACTAAAGGATTCCAAATTTCCCCCACCTCATTCCAAAGACCAAGAACCTGCTTTCAGATTGTTGATAACATTCTACCAGACTATATGGCATCATTTCCGAGAAAACAGTACTACTTTCTGCTTGTTTTATATTACACTGTAAAGAGGACTCAATGAGAATGTTTATGATAACCAGGCTAACCTAACTGCCTATGGGGAGAAGCAGATATACACCAAGGACACCACAGCAATACTTTTGTATTGGAATCAGCCTGTAATTCCTCTACACAGCAATATATTCACTTCACCATCACACATTACAGGATTGATGCAATATTTATTAACAACTCTAAATGAATTTCAAGTTTTAAACTGCAACAGTAAATACTTTTTAAATAATTTTATAATGACATAATGGCAAGCAATGAAACAGATTAACGTAAATAGAGCACCTGATGATGGCACTGTAGTGCCGAAACATGTTGTGAAGTAACAAGTGAAATTGAGTGCACTAAAAGACGGACATTGCTTACATATCATGGGCAACAGTAAAAACAGTATTTATACTCACACGAAAAAACTTCGGATTCACATATATGGTAGGAGGCACAGCTGTGATTGGCCATGCTGGATCAATTGCATTTACACGTACGTCTACTGCATATAACTTCTTTGGTGGGAACACTTCATTCCACGTCTGACGTAATTTGAACATCTGGGCCCGTGTTTTCTCATCCACCTACAAGAAGGAAGCACAATACATGAATCAGTCCCAATATATATGATATTTTCTTGATCACATCTATGATAATTGGCAACAAGAATTATTAAAATGATGCACACCTCATGCTTTACATGACCAACAACCTCATTTAACAATTCGATACAACTTTAACTTAAATTAATTTTTGTTACAACAAAATTTTTCCCTTGTCACCAACTGACATGACCATGCTCACAAAAGGAAACAAATATTTATATCTGCGGTACCTAGATACCATATCCTCTGTAACAAGCTATTTCTAACATTAAGAGTAGCACAACAGAATATATCCAAGTCTTTTATCATCATGAACAGCTTTTTGCTCTTTGTATATGATGGCTATTTATTTCAGAGGCAATAATGAAACACAGATAACAGTTCTGAATTGCAGAATTATAAGGCAAATAAATATATATACTTGAAACTGTAAGCTGTCAAGGTCTCTAAACCTGGAGCTGGATAACATTACGGTAACAAAACAAAGTTCATGAATGGGCAGATTATTCATCAAAATAACAAATCAGACAGACAAAAGTAATTCACATTCAGCATTTCTATACACATTTACTCTCACGTATATCGGTAGCATAGTTGGTTGTGGCACTATGCTACAAGCTGGGAGGTCACGGGATTGAATCCCAATGAGGTCATTGGATTTTTTTCAATTTACCTAATCCTTCCAGCCACAATATGGCCCTGGGAATGAATAAACCCCAAACTAGAGTCACCGCAAAAGAATCAAAATATGTAATACATTTTCAAAAATACCACAGAAGGTTGAAACAATGTTCTGAGTGAAAAGCGAAGTATATACATCTCCAACATTCTTCACAATAGAATCGATGAGGTATAACACAGGCAGCTTGATCTCTGCTCGCACCTACATGAACAGGACAAACATATTAGAGGGGTTGTTGCTTGCTTAGGCTCCACTTTCCTTCCAGTCTTGAAAAAGTGCAGCAATATAATTACACTATTATATTTAAGATAGCCAAACCTGGCTACTCAAAGAAGTAAACACACAGAAAACTAAGTATATGTTACTTTCTTGTCACCAAAGTGCAGGGCAAAATCATGGCATAAAATAGGGAACAGACGTTTTTTAAATGTGGCACAGTTCAGATATTTGGGAACAACGATAACAGATTGAAACCTGATTCAGGAGGAAATTAAGAGGTGATTGAACACGGGTAATGCTTGCTATCATTCAGTCCAGAACCTTTTGTCTTCTTGTCTGTTGTCCAAGAACATAAAAATTAGAATATACAAAACTATAATTTTGCCTGTGGTTCTGTTTGGGTGTGAAACTTGGTCTCTGACATTAAGGGAGGAACATAGACTGAGGGTGTTTGAGAACAGGGTGTTGAGGAGAATATTTGGACCGAAGAGAGATGAAGTTACAGGAGGTTGGAGAAAACTGAATAATGAGGAGCTTCATAACTTGTACACTTCTCCAAGTATAATTAGAATGATCAAGTCAAGGAGGATGAGGTGGACAGTTCATGTAGCACAAATGGGGGAGATGAGGAATGTGTATAGGATATTGGTGGGAAAGCCAGAAGGAAAGAGACCACAGGGAAGACCAAGGCATAGGTGGGTGGACAATATTAGAGTGGATCGTAGAGAGATAGGATGGGATGGTATGGATTGGATAGATCTGGATCAGGATAGGGACCAGTGGAGGGCTCTTGTGAACAGGGTAATGAACCTTTGGGTTCCATAAAATGCTGGGAAATTATTGAGTAGCTGCAGAATTGGCGGCTCATCCAGAAGGGCTCAGCTCCATGAGTAAGTAAGTAAGTAAACCTGCCTACTCATAATAGGACCAAACTTTTCCAAAGCTACTTTTCAATGGAACTACTGACATCTGGATAATGAAGGGAAATGGAATGTCCAATGTGACTGTAAATGGTCTTCTCCTTTGGTGTCCAAACATACACAATGGAGAAGCCAGCTCAGAAAGGACTTTCAGAATTATATCACATACGTGCAAGGATATTTAAAAATATGATCCAGTTCTCACAAAGTGTTTAAATTCACATCCTGGGCAGTACCTACTTGCAAATGACATATTTTCTAGCTAATACCGTACCTTGCAATTGCACTACATGGATTAACTGTTGGCATATGATTAATTTTATTAAGACTACTAAATAAAACCTCTGCGGCTTTAGTCTGCAAGCAAACTATTCCCACCAAGCAACCACCGCTTCTCGGCAAAGTTAGTGCCAACTTTTGCGGATAGATGGTGTCGCCTGGTCAGTGCAAGGGATCCCCACAGCTGTTAATTTTCGGTTTTCTAGACCAGAGCTGCTATTCCTTGAAATAGCTCCTCAATTATTCTCATGAGGAAGACCCTGTTCCAGACCCACAACTTATGAGAAAATCTGGTAAGGCCAGGAATAGAACCTGGGACCTTTGGATCTGTAGCCAGGAGCTCCGACCAATACACCACAGAAGCAGTATTAAGACTACTGAGGAAAGTATAATAATACATCAACAACAGATATACTGAAAAGACTTAGCTCTCCCATCAAATCCACTGTACATATTCTTAGGCTAGATAATAGGCAACAGGTTATGTTAAATAAACTGTCATCTTTTTAAGGGTCTTCAGGTCTGAAATAATATCCCTTCAGTATTAGTGTGTTTATTCTGGCTTGTTTCACGTTCTCTTCTCAATCATAAACATAGCAGACATTCTCAGATATTACTTATTTTGTCAATAAACATGATGCTTCAGAACTTGGACCACTACACTTACAACTACACAAACTTATACTATTTTCGGGGACAATATATTTTTTAAATCACCACTATTACAAATCATAAAAATTAGTAATTTCGATAATTAGGTAAATGTCTAGTTGCATTCTGTTGCACTGCTCTCGTACATTACGTCAGCAGAATGGCAAACTGTGTAACGGGCATGGATAATTTTGAATAGGAAGCCCACAAACTTCACTTCCCACTAATATGCCCGATTACATAAAGGCATGTGAATGAATGGGTACTGGAATCCTCCTGGTACATTAATCATCTCAAGCTGGCACTGATTACAGTGAAGTAATCTGCTTGGCCTAAACATTACTTCGAAGACACGAGTCTATTCTTATTGGTTGGAAAATCCGAATGTGGATCAATGGTCCAATTTCTAAAGCATACAAACTTACGAGTTAAATGCCACTGTCAGATGGAATAATTTCCAAAATTTTGGAAGTAAACAAGCTCTCAACCTCCATTAGTTAAAAAAAGAACTTAAAGTTTGTGATAATGGTATACTAATGCAATTATTGAGTTTTTGGACATTATCCATCGTCCTGTTTCTATTTAAAACACAACTTTTGGAGACTGGATTCTGTCTCCATCTTCAGGCAAAAACCTAATCAGTTTTGTACTATCAATAGAGTTAGTTCCTATCTCTGGATCTCCCAATCTCTACCAACATGGCCCAACTCGTTACGCTTTTACATGAGGACGCAGACAGAATCCAGTCTCCTTGATGTCATATTGTAACAGACATAGGTCTTTGGGTAATGTCCAAACACTCAACAGCTGCCAATCTGTTACTTAAAGATAGACTCTGGATATTTTTCATAAATTTCCATGTGATGTGCATTAAATTCCCATTTATATTTCTGTATGACACTGTGACCTAAACAAGAAGAGTTTATTCTGTGGAAATATTACATTTCAAACTGTTACATTTAACTAATCAACTATATCGCGTTTCCCCCAAAATTCGATAAATACTTATTCGTTTTCAATAAACAATAATTTCTTTCGTTAAGAAACAATGCAAAATTGATAGTAATATGTAATGTAAAATACACACAGAACCATGAACAGCCTTAATTTCAGCACTATTTCAATGCTCTCTTTAACACCTATCTTCAGCCTACAATAACAATAGACTCGTAGTGTATCCATTAATATGAAAGCTGAAATGAGGTTCTCCACGGTGTATATTCTATCGCCTGATCGTAATGAACATTCTGAAACTTCCAAACCTCAAGATGCGACAATATCAAGCAAAACCTTAAGACTAACCTTTTGAAGATGTTTTTCCACTGCCTGGACGATAATGGGCGCATGCATGATATTTTCATCAGCAAGCATAGTCAACATGTTGATCAGTGGCTTGCTGTTAACGGTGAGGTCCGATAAAGACGAAGCATATTCTTCGGCTACCTCCGACATTTTTACCATCGATGTCATGTTAGTTTGGTAGTTCTTCAAAACCATTCACACCACACTTAACTGTAACACAATAAAATCGCCTTAGTTTAGTAATTGTTCACAATTTTATTGGGAAACCATTCAGATCTAACGGAACTAAAAAACAGCTTGAAAACTGTTTAACATCTGCAAATCATTATTCCATATTAAACAGGACTTCGGTACACCTTGAAAATTACCTATTAAAACTCCGGCATTAACATGCTGATATGTTTTCTGAAAAAAAAAACTGTTTTAATATCGGCAGAAAATAACTGTTTTTCGCCACTCTGTCACTAACTCAACCTACAACCTGCTGCTACTGCGAATACCTCAAAATGGCTACCTACGTATCCATATCGATAATGAAACACGGCCCCTAATTGGTCTCCAGCGAACACTATACAATATAGCACTTTTCAATCTCCAATCACATCGTTTGTCGCTTAATGCGTGAAGTTGTAACTTCTACATCATCCGATAGGGGTCACAATAGTCAAAATGGAAAAAAGCTGCTTGGATTTGGAAATAATTTGTAAGAATAATAAACAGGCACCACTAATGCCAAATACATATATATAATTGTTTGTCATGTAATACGGTACTTAATGTTTTAAAAGTAACTGATTTAATATGAGTAGGTTATCTAGGCCAAATGGACAACTTTTGCAGTCAAGGTGAAAGGCTAAATGAGTGCAAGGAAAGAAGATGGCGGACTGCGATTACGTGGTATGCACGGGCTGAATTAAACGAA